TAAAAAAATTTAAATACTCTTAATAAATTAATAATTTTAAAAAATTATCAAAAATATTTAAATAATTTTACAAATAATTTTGTCATCATTTTCATCTTAACAAGCAAGCCATAAATGGTGCCCATAAGGAAGTGGATGATTTTGTATAGGCCAAACATGCCGCACATTTTCGTTCAATGTGCCCTTAATTATTTGTATTAAGAGATAGTGCCCTCATCAATTACATGGTTATTGTTATAGGTTTGTGTCCTTATGTGAAGATTTTTCTTTTTACTATACCAATTAATTTGGAGGGAAGTAGCCGGCCTGAATAAAATGCAGAAATGTCTCCATCACGTGATTAGTTTTGTTCTAGCGAGTTTTATGTTAACTAATTCATTTGATTCCTTTAGATACTAACACAATATTTTTTTTTATTTAGTAACTTTTTATCATTCCTTAATCTACTGCATATATATATGTTATATAATTTAAATTTAAAATTTTTTATTTAATGTCATGTTATATAATAAAATATTTTAAATTTAAATTATATGACATATAAATAAGATGAATTACAAAACAAAAAATATAAAAAAATTATCTTTTATTATATAATCTAAAATAAAAAAAACTTATATATGACTCCAAACATTTCACGTGAAGTTTTTCACCTTTCATTATTAATTAAAATTAAATCTAAAAATTATGAATTTGACTCATTCAACATGTGAGTATTTGTTTCATTAAAAAAATTAAGAGTATTCATAGTAGTTAGAATGGAAGGAATTAACTCTTGATTGCGTAACTCAAAAAGTTGGAAAGATAAACAGGCATTTGATTAATGTTCTCTAACGCATCTTATAATAAATTATATGATAAATATATATATATAAAGTTGGAAAGATAAACAGGCATTTGATTAATGTTAAAAAAATGCTTGATTGTGATAGGCTTTTGCTTACTGCAAATATAGGATATTAGTAAGGAACACGGCAGCAACACGTAGACATTAAAAATTTCAGCATTGTGATGTCTAGTATGTTTATATTCGATTCAATCCAATTGATTCGATCTAAACTGATTCAATCCGATTGATCCGATCTAAACTGATCTAATTCAATCAAAAACCGATCAAACTAATATAAAATTAGGTTAGTTTGAATTATAAAATTTTAAAACTGATATAATTGATTTGGTTCGTGATTTTACTTTCAAACCACCCAAACTGTCCGATTATAAAATAAAATTCGATTACAAAATAACTTAATTAAATAATATAATATATATTTTTTGTAGTATTTTAAAATTTCTTTTTCTTATTATACAAGATAATAGCTCCATTAATTTAATTAAAAAATAAAAATAGAACATTTCTATATTCTCTAAGTTATTTTTCTATTTTAATCATGGATTCTAACCTTAATTCTAAATTTTTAATTCACCTGTAATTCTATCCCCTTAGAATTGGTTTACACGTTTACTCTTAGAACCTTAAATTTTTAATTTATTCTTAAAATAATCTTATGATTCTTCTAATTAAGTTTTAAATAAGTACCATTCTAAAAGTTTTAAAACTATATAATAAAATTAGTCTTGATATTCTACTGTCCTTAGATATTTAGTTTATAAATTTTAAATTTTGATTATGAATACTTCTAATCAATTTTAGTAATATTTATGTTAAATTTTATTCACTTTTAAAAGAGTTAGAAAATGTGATTAAATTTTTAATGCATTAAGAAAAAAACTAATTTTAATTTTTAAGAATTATTTACACTATACTAAAAACTTGAAGTTATCTTTTATTTTTCTTGGTACCTCTAGTGATGTAACGAAAAAGAATTTTCAGATCTTTTCAATTTTTACAAATGTAAAGGAGTATAAAAACTTGTTTATAATTTGTACTCTTTATTATGTTTTTACTTATTTGCACACTAATGTGTTTTA